TGCCTAACAACGTCAAAAAGCTGCGTTCCTTGCTGGGTGGGCTTTCGTATTACCGCAAATTCATCAAGGGTTTGGCCATGCGCGTGAAACCACTCACAGACCTTTTGCGTAAGGGCGCGAAGTTTTGTTTTACGCCGACTATGGCGGATACCTCTTGGCGAAAGTGTCAGAACCTCCGGTTTTGGCTTTCCCGGATTGGGACGCTGTCGCAGATGGCAGCCGCCCTCTCCGGCTTTGCTGTGATGCCTGTATCGATGGTTTTGGTACGGCCCTTGAACAGGAACAGGCCGATGGTTCCATCCGTCCCATTCTGTTCGTTAGCCGCGCTACGCTCGAATCCGAGCGCAACTGGACAGTGCTCGACTTGGAAGCTGGAAGTATCGTGTGGGCAATTAAACGCTTACGCGGCTATTTTTGGTCTACGCACTTTCTGATTTATTCGGATCACAAGGCTTTGGAGAGCATCGTCAAGGTGGGTGAACACAACGCCCGCGTCCAACGTTGGCTCGAGTTCCTTTCCTCGTTCAATTACACCCTTGTCTACCGCAAAGGCACTGCCAACGCCAATGCGGATTTTCTTTCGCGGTTGCCCTTGCCGGCAACCGACACGGATAGACACGGTGACACCAGTATCGCAGTCGATGACGCCGCGGGCGTGTATCTCATTCGTGCGTGCGGACGGAGTTATCACTCTAGTTCGACGCCGAACATCGGCTTGGGTGGGCTTGACATTGACGATCAACGAGACGCGTTGGCACACGCGCCTCTGACGGAGGATGACTTTGGAGACTTCCGCCGTTTTGGGCCACATATGGTCCTGCCGGCTCTGTCGCCCTCCTCCGTAGTTGATTCGTCGAAATTTTCGCCGCCTGGTGTTTTCGCTGTCGTTTGCGATGCAGCCCCCGAGAGTTCTGTGCCCGATGGACCTGCTCCGGCTTCTGTTTCTGCGGAGACAGACGTCGCTCCCTCGTCCACCGTCGGAACCTGCTCAGCTGCCCTGTCGCTTTCGCGTGGCCCTCTGATTTCTTCTCGTACCCGGGCGAGAACGAATTCGGCCTCGGGCATGGCTCATAGCCGTCCCAATTATTTTCCGAAACAACCTCGGGCCGTTGTGGTGCCCAGACCGCCGCGACCTCCTCGAACACCGGCCCGGTCGAGCCGTGCCGCGCGGTCTACGAGAACCGTGGGTAGCCCTACTTCTGGCCCGCTGCCTTCTTGGGCGCTGGTTGAAGTGCAGCCGCCGCCGCCCGCGCCTGCTGCCGCCACCCCGGCGCCACCGCCGCCCGCGGCGCCCATGCCGCCAGTGTTGTCGCCCGCAGGTACTAGCCCTGCGACTTCCGTGGTGCCGCCCACGGCCGCTGAGGAAGCTCACCTCCGCGACTGTGTGCATACATTCTCGCATGCCGATTGGGCCCGAGAACAGCTGTCAGAAAGTGAGTGTGTCGCGGCTATACATTTTTTGTCTTTGGGATCCCCGGCGGTTTTGCCGGATACATTCTGGGATTGCTTGACCTGTGCGCAACGGCCGGCGTTGTCTGATGTTGTCGCCTTCGCAGACGATGGTACGCGATTGTTGGTGCGAAATTCTGCCCCACTGCCTCTCGGTAGTTCGGGCGGGCGTATCACTCGCCTCCCGCCTTTCGAAGACTCCGCGCATATACGTGCCTATGCTATTGCGACCTTGGGTCCTACAAGCATGTCACGCCACCGCGTCTTTTCACCTGGGCACCGCTCGGACTTTACGTATGTTGGAGCGATTTTTCTGGTGGATTGGGATGGATTTGTCCGTTCGTTGGTGGCTTCGGCATTGTTTAATTTCCCAAGCGCGCAAGACTTCCCGGCAAACGTATCGTTGGCCTACGCTCACTCTGCCCCTCCCGAATGGGCCGGGTATTGTAGTGAGCGTCGATTTTTTTGGGCCATTGCCGGTCACGTCCTGTGGGAATGCATATATACTTTTGTTTACGGACCGTTTCAGTCGACGGGCGGATATGTATGCCACTACCAAGGCGGAATTTACCGCTAAGGGAACGGCTAACATTTTCGTCAACCGCTACATGGCGTTGTGGGTTTGTCCGGTGACTCTTCTTTCGGATAACGGTATGCAATTTTGTTCCAAGTTGTCCATGGCTATTTACGGGTTGATGAAGATCAAGAAAGTCACCACCAGTTCGTACCACCCCCAAACTAACGGTGGGGCCGAGCGTGTTAACCACACCATGGCTCAAATGCTTGCTGTTGTGGTCAATGAGCGTCAGGACGATTGGGACGTCCATCTTCCCCATGTCGAGTTTGCATACAACAACTCGGTAAACACCGCCACAGGTTTGGCGCCAAATGAAGTGCATATTGGACGGTTGCCCCGTCTCCCGCTTTCTGTTTTGGACCACCCTAGCGTGGGTGGCCATCAAAGTTTGGATCGAGACCAGCTCGTTTTCTGCAATCTTGCGGTGGAACGCCAGAGACGAGCTTACGCGTTGGTGCGGGAACAACATGCGATTACGGTGTCGCGTGTCGAACGTCGTAACTCTGCACTGTTGGACGGTCTGCGTCAGATCCCGAAATACGAAGTTGGTGGTTGGGCTTGGGTCTACAACTCTGCCGCTACTATTCGGCAGGGTGTGCGGAAACACACCCATGATTCGGTGCTCAAAGCGAAGCTTTCGCTCAACTACACCGGACCATATAAAATCCTTGCTGTTGGCCCGGCTAAAGCGGAGGATTCACCGGATGGAAAACCTGTGGAGCGCAAACTTCTCTACCTGGACCTGCCGTCAGACATGCTGGGACCAGAATCCCGCAACCGTGTCTCCGTCTTGCGGTGCAAACCGTGTACCAACCCATACGACACGGATGACCTGCCTAAGTATATGCCGGCCAATCTGTCGAAATATGTTTTGCACTCGTATAGTAACAAGTCTCCCCCGTATAATTTGACTGCTGATGATATTTTAGCGGAGTCTAGTCGTCTGGATGTTGAGAATATTTCAGGACACCAAATTGTACGTGGACGCGGTGGTGTGGTAGCTGTCTTGTACCTGACTCATTGGATTGGTTTGTTGACACCGTCGTGGGAAAGGGAGTCTGATTTGCAGGAATACAGAAAACACATTCTGCTTTACTGGTCTGGTAACGCTAGTCAGCGCATACAAGGAAACCGAGCTTATCGTAATGCTCGGATAGCTTCGGCCGACCGAGAACTTGCTCGGAATCAGGCCGAACGTTTCATTGCTCCTGGGTACGAGTTGGTTTCGCGTGACGTTTGGTTGGCTCGCTTCTCTGTTTCTGTTTTGCCCGTGGGAGCCCACATTTGGTACAAAGCTTTGGATGGACTTTGGTGGCTTGGGCAGATTAGTAGTTTCGTAACAGGCCAGTACATTGTTCGATTTTTGGACACCCCCGGCCCTCGAAAGCTTTCTCTCCCAGAGTATAGTTACTCCACGGCTTTGGATGCTCCTTGTGGTTCTTGGTGCTTGCAAAAACACCGTACTCGTGGTTTGACCAACCCTTCCACGGATGATGGCGTTACGTCGCGAACACCAGGCGTTGTGGCACAGCTGGCTGTTGCCCCATCTGGATCTGTGCTTTGATATCATGCCGCCTACGGGCCGCTACATGTTTCTTATGTTGTGTTCTACATCGTACGCAGTGGTACGCTAGCGCGTGTTTGGGTGGTGTGAGCTTCTTCCATTGTTGCAATAGTCACCCCGACCTTTGCGTGCCCAACGCGACCGAACCCCATTTTGATTCAGATTGGTTCCGTCGTTGGCGATGTGATTCTCAGTAGTCATCACTGTGTGGTGTGGGGATGGTTTGGAGTATTTGTCGGGGATGAAATATTTTCTCTGACCCTAGTTGCTTTTATTTTATCTTATTTTGTCTGATTTGGACAGTCGCATCTTCGATCTTTATTTGAGGTTGAGTATTGGATTGACGATAAAGTATCTGCATCCACGACTTCCCAGGGTGGGCTAATGTAATGGAGCAACTAGTGTATTTGCATTGTACGAGCGTTTCATGAACGTTGTATGAGCGCTTATTGGATATTTTGAATTTTCTTTGGATATGGATATTTGGCGACGTTGAGGGGTATTGAAGTAGCTTGAAGGAAGATCAAAATCCCAGCCCCGCTCCCTCACTCTCCGAGTGGGCGCTGAGCGGACCTGGTCTAAGAAGGCTAAAACAAGAGATCAAACAACAACTGTGAGTACCCGAAGCCAGGAGCAACGAACTTGCTCCCTTCTCTATGTTATTTCTCTGTTCCTCCATAACAACAGACCATCGTCATCATCACAAGAAGAGCAGAACACGCCCATGACAAAAATACTCCCGGCATCTACGTACAGCCTCTGATGAAAGTGTCAGAGTCGACGCACGAGTTCTCAACACCCCGACTATTCACCGCTATGCCTCCTACGGCCTAACTCCCCCCATCCAGCCACATGCCGGTCGGTATCATCTCCTGTTCCCCGAAAATATGATACGCCAACCCCGGCCGCAGCCAATGCCGCAAACCACTCTCAACACCAACGAGGCAGGAGGTCTACAAGTTTCGCTCGATTCCCAGAGCATCACATATAGATACGACTGGGCATTCATTGTCCACGGCGCCACAGCGGATCGCAAGAGTGGCTAAATCTCCTGGTAGTACACGAGGAACTCTGCAAGGTCGCGTGCGAAAGCAACCTTCATGACCCCCCAACAAACCCTTAGCCGCCAGCATGACCGCAACAGCAAAATATGCTCCCCTCGTTGAATCATCATGCCGCGACACAGGCTTAGCCGCAGTTCGCCATCTTCGAACCCACTACCCAGATCCAAAACCATCCAACAACGTTTTCTTCCCCTCCACCACAAAAAAAAAACATGAACTCTTCAGCGTTAGGAATGGCTCGAGCACAATCGATAGACACCAGGCACGGATGAACTTGCTGGTAAGCGTCGAACTACTGTACGGCTAACTCAAGAAAAACACTCGAGGACCTCCGTCGAGACCCCCCCTATCCCCCACGCCCGGGCTCCTCCACGGGTTGTTCTGAACCCTTGTTCACTTCGGCGAGGTGGGAGGTAAACTGGACGAGAAATTCCATGTCTTCCCTGGTCTCAGGGTCGACCGCCAGGAGGGACGGGAGTACCCCGACAAGCTGATGGTTTGGACAAGGCAAATAGGACAGCGGGAAGAGCAACATCGCGATAAGCTTTGGAGAACCCAACAAGTCATGGCATTGATGCAAAAAACCCTGCGGAGCAAGTTCTGCAACCAACCATGCCCATCTTCCCCCTCTGCTGGTCATTTCATTCATCGCTGCTTGATGCGGATCTCGCGAGGTGTACCGTTCCCTTTCGAGATGTTTTCACAGGAACTGGACGCAAGCAGTCACAGACTGTCTCATAGAGGAAAAAATGGCAAATCGGAGTGACGATGAAACGCGAGTCGTTCATGGCGTCTTGCAATGGCCAGAGAGAGAGAACGGTTTATCAGCTGCGTTGGTCACGATTCAACGGGCGGACGGCACGCTACTGCATTCACCTTCTCGGACGATTCAAGCGTCGGGTCAAGCTTGTCGGGTGCAAGCCACGCCATGAAAGACCCGTCTGCCATCGTCCTCCTGGAAACCTCGAACTACCGAGGCACAACAAGGCAGTGAATGAATGACGGGAGTGGAAGGGGGTCCTCTCAACATTCACATGGCAATGAACCACGAACACAATTGGAGCCGGAACGCACCCCCTTCTTCCTTCTAACCTATACTCAAGGCTATTCCACGCGGAGGGAACGGAACAACCGCTTCGGCGTTTACTGGGATTCCATACGAACGCGGTAACTACCAACCGGGCGAGCCAGGGGCAAAAACCACGTCAAGCTCTGCGGGACCGTGGCTAGCAGGAACAACACCCCTGGCACACACAACGACATGACGGCAGAGTACCCTCTTGCCAACGGGGTGCGTACCTCCAAGATTTTGGTCTCGTGCGAGACATCCCGGCCGACTCTCGCGCGCTCCAGCAAGACCTCCAGCCTAGCCGTCTCGTCAGCCGTTCTGAGCTCCTGCGGTAAGGTGCGTGGCGAATTCACGTAAATGTTAATGTGACACGTTCTCAGGTAGGAACGCAATGGGACTGAAGGGCTTGGAAATTCATCAGGTATTGTGCAGAAACATGCAGTAGCTCGTGCTCACCTGTCTTGTGCCGACGCAAGTTCGATACACTCTTTGCCGGGCAGCAAAGTACCCCAGCTGTGAACAACCAGCGGCAGAGCTACGTTGAGGCTCGTTTTACGAAGAGAACGAACTCTTGTGTTTGTGGTGCTGGTGGCCGGAATGACCACATCCAACGGGTTGAGCAGGCGTATTCCACACAGCAGTGAAGATATACCACCGACGTTCATACAGAGTTCGTTGGCGCCAACCCCATCCATTCGGTACAAAACCATCCAGTCCAAAACACACCAAATATTCTTGCGGACAACAACGAGCGAAACAGGTCACCAGCGGATCTCATGTGATCGCAAGGAGAGCGTTTTCAAAGGGAGCCATCTGAACGAAAACAGGACCCCGGGACAGCAGTGTGCGGTTGCCCGCAGGCACTTTCCCTTCGGGTGTGTGGTCGTACAATACCGTGGACTGACTCTATCTGCACTGCTCCTACCTGCTGCGTGAAGAGGTTTGAGCACCTCCGCTCCCTCTTCAAGCAAACCATCAAGAGCACGACAGCCACCGAAACCACGTCTTGCGCCGGTGCACCCAACACTGGATCCGCCGACATGGTCTCGAAGGCCATGGCCCCCGACGTGCCCATTCCCCCCGGACACCTCTCCCCGATTTCTGTTGGTGTTTGACATGTTTGACATGGTGAACCGAACAGCGCGACACGACACGTTTTCGGCGGTTGGCATGAGGGTTGGGAGCAGGATAACTTGAGGGGAGTAGAAAAACATGCCCATGTATTGCACCTTGCACGAGCTGCCGTCCAAATCGTGCAGTCTTGAACGAACGGTTCACTCAACAACGCCCAAAGGCCCAACCGGTTTCATTCATTAGCGGTGGCCAGGAGCGCTGTTGCCATTCGGACGAAATACATATCTCCGACCAAAACCAAACACTGATTTCGGACAGCACATCATACGAGCACGGCTTGCAACCGGGGAATACGCACAAGCGGCTTTTTACGACGTTCCGCTTCAGGGGGATATTTGTACTGATGACAGCCCAAAGCGGATTTTGCCGTCAGACCAGAACGGTCCACAGTTGGGACAGCAGCGGGGGAACAAACAACCTCACCTGCGGCGAACCCGAAGTCCGCCAGCTTGGCATGCAGCCCGTGCCCCTCCGACTCAAATACCAAGACGTTTCCCGGCTTGATATCCCGGTGAACCAATCCCATGGAGTGCATATGGTGGGCCCCTCTCGCAAGGTCAACCACCAGCCTGCAAAGACAACGAAGGTAAACAACGGTAAGGGAGGAAGGAATGAGTCAGCGGCCAGTCTTGCATAGTTGGTGGCACTGCGGAACTCAGGGAGGCTGAATCGATGTAGACACCAGCTGGGTGTCTCGGACGATTTCGACAAAAAAGCGCTGTCTACGCCGTCGCAGTCAAGGTGCTATCGCCATCAGCCCAGCAGCTTCCGCCTTGTCACGACGCACCGACGATCAATGCGTTCGAAGTAGGTTACAGCTTTAAACCTTCACACATGGTGTGTTGGAACATTGCTTAGGAACGGCAGACCAATCGTCATCAGTGGGGCAGCATGCCAGCGTGTAGCAGGGCATCTCGCCTTAGTTTGTCCCCAAGGCCATGGGTGTCGGAGTTGATGTACGACCCCAAGTCGCACCGAGCTTTGGGTAATAGTATCGGCATCAGGTCGCTGTCGTCGTCCATTGACAGCGCACCGAGCACATTTTGGTGAGGGGTTCGCGCCAGCCTGGGGAACAAGCACGAAACGGAACATTTCATGTAGGGAAGTGTCGCATGGAAATAGATAATATATACAGCCCGTGAAAGGTGTAGCCTTGAGGAGGACATGGACTTACGACAGCATTCTACGGTCGGGCCAGGTCTGATGACAAACATCACATTGTTGTAGAGGCGTTGTCGGTGCGGACGCTAGACGCACGGCATGGCACGGGAGCGCCACCCTCGCCACCAAAGTACATTTGGGACGACCGACGTACCGTATTGGTGGCACTCGTGTGTGTGCAACGGCAGGGGATGTCGTCCTTACACAAACAAAGAAGCACGCGCGACTCATGCCCGTGTTTTGTTCGCACTCGACGCCTTCGGCTTCCCGCGGCAGTCGCGAGGGCATCCCCGCGATTCCTGCTGCCATGTCAGTGAATGATTTGATCTATCCCTCCCAGTACCCTGACGTGAAGAGCAAACGTGCAAATCCCACATCCCAAACGTCCAAACACAGGTCCTCTCCCATGGTGCAATCTCAATCTCACCGTGCGAACACCGTCATCTCCACCAACGCACAGAACCTCGCCGACATACTGGCGGCCTGGACGAGAGAGGTCGCAAGGCAAACGGGGTGTGAGGCGCGGCCGCATCCAACAAACCACATTAGGACTTGAGTGTTTTACATGCCCTTCACCTGGTTGGGGCCCAGCTTGAGTGTGTTGGCCGAGAGGTGGTCGGATTGTGTCTCAAGCGCAACACTTCTCCTTGCCAAACCTGCTCTCTCCACCCGTGCACACGTACGCAGCAAAAGTGGCAACTTCCAAGACTTTGCAGCAGTACACGGCTCACCTGTGTCACGGTCTTCATGGCGAACGACTGGCCGGGGAGGCTGGCGTACGACACGTCGTCCACTCGTCCGAACGACCCGTACCCAAGCGGTTGCGCGAGCACCATAGGCATGTCCGCGGTCTTCAGGGCATTGACCGCGAAGCTCTGCACCTGACCGGAGGCACACACTTCAGCGAGGTTGGCCAGGAATAGGCGCCTGATGCTACCCCTTTGTCGCCATCCCTGCCCGACTTGCCTCGACAGACTCGTCAAAGCCGACTGACGAGTCTGCTCGTCAGCTCGGTCAGTCTGTCCCACGGACGGCGCGCGGACCAAGGGCCCGTCTCCCGGCCCGGCCGTCGACAGTAGCCCTCCCGCCGCGACCGTCGCGGATCGACCCTCCGGAAAACACGGAAGAGCTTCACCCTCCGCCCGAACGCCTCGCGAGAAGGCCTGAAGACCCTGAACCGGCTTCAACTCCTCTCCCTTCACCTCGGCCTTGGCCTCTAACGCCATCGACGCCATGCTGCCGTCCCGAGCCGTCGCTGCTGACGGTCCCTTGCCTGCGGCGGTCCCCGACGGCGAGTCATCTAGGATGGAATTCAGCGTCTGGACCCGCTTCATCGGTGGTCGCAACGGCGGACCCTTGCCTTCAGCCTTGGCCTCTAGAGTATGCGATGCCATGCCGTCCATGTTCTGCAACACAAGCTGCTCCTGTCGCATGCCGACGGCCACGTCTTCACATGTCTTGTCCTCCTTCGTCCAGAGGTGCTCCCCAACGCCAACCTATATGTGTCAGGGAACACACAACAACGGGGCATCACAACAGTGATCAGTACCTGAATATGGATATTGCTGTTATCGTAAGCGGGTTTCATGCAGGAGGGACACGACTATATCGCCGCGCATTAGCTGGAGTCTAGTGTTGCCAGCCGAAAACACAAGGTGTAGCTGCTCTTTGCCGTGGTTCTCTGTACAACGGAAGCGATTCTCTGCAAGACGAGATGTACCACAAAATCGACCGTGTTTTCCTAGTGCGAAGGCTCTTGCTGCATGGGCACAAGGTGTTGATACAGTCAGCGTAACACATAAAACAATCTGCATGTATCACCACCTCCCGTTGCGAGACCTCACCCCTTCCCCCTTCACCTCAAGACGGTGATCGAACATATCGACACGCCCCTCAGCCCGCATAGCACGGCCCTCCAAGCCCGTCGCCTCCGCCCGCATGCCCTGGTCTGCGGTAGCACCGATCGTCCTTCCGGAACAGACTTCGCCTGAGAAGCGTTCGTCCCGTGGCTTGCTCTCGATCCGACTAAAGCCAGCGGCCGCCACGTACGAACCTTTCTCTTCGGCCATCCACCACCCGGCCGCACTCTCGCGGTGCCCCACCCGATCGTTGCCGGCCTGCATCCTCTCTCGCAGCATGATTGGTTCATGCTGCCGCCCTTCCTGGTGCTGACGGCTCGTCTCGCATGATTGACCAACTCGAGGCGCCGCCTCTCCCTCCTCCACGCCCCCCAGAAAGCCGAGAAGGCCGGCGGGTAGCAGAGTCCCCTGCTCTTGCCCCGCGTGTCCGGTTGTGAGGTTGGATGTGTGTGCCGACTCCACTACCTCTTCCTCCTCCACCTTCTCCTCTTCTTCACCAAGATACCCGAAGAGGCCCGTTGGCAACACTGCCCCACCACCCCCTTGCGCACGATCTCCAAAGCGTGCTGGGCGATGTGATGATTCTGCCTGCTCATCATGGCGGACTTCGGTGGTGTTGGCAGCAAGCGTCGCCATCAAGCCCACCGCGGCTTGCCGCCCCCCTTCTCCTCTGCGGTTGTCTCCGATGGCGTCGGCAGGTAGACACGCCTCCCCCCCCTGATGGACGCCTCCAGAGCGTACCTCGGGACGCGGTACGACATCGGTGGCGGCGATGGTGGGCATCCGGACCTCAGCCACCTTCTCTTCCTCCACCTTTTCCTCCTCTCCACCCAAATATCCGAAGAGACCCGGCGGCAACACTGCCCCGCCCTCCTGCTCGACATCCCCAAGGCCTGCCGGGAGGTGTGATAGGTCGAAGTCCTCACCATGGTCAAGTGTCGGCAGCAAGCCCACCGCGGCTTGCCGCCCCCCTTCTCCTCCGCGGTGGTCTCCGATGGCGTCGGCAGGTAGACACGCCTCCCCTCCCTGATGGACACCTCCAGAGCGTACCTCGGGACGCGGTACCACATCGGTGGCGCCGATGGTGGGCATCCGGGCCTCCGCCACCCTCTCTTCCTCCACCTTTCCCCCCTCTTCACCCAAATATCCGAAGAGACCCGGCGGCAACACTGCACCTCCATCCTGCTCGACATCCCCAAGGCCTGCCGGGAGATGTGATAGGTCGAAATCCTCACCACGGTGAAGTATCGGCACCAAGCCCACCGCGGCTTGATGCGCCCCTTCTTCTCCGCTGTTGTCTGCGATGCCATCGGCAAGTAGAAACGCCTCTCCCCCCTGATGGACGCCTGCAAGGGGTACCGCAGGATGCGGTACCACATCGATGGCCGCGATGTTGGGCATCCGGACAACCGCCACTCTCTCCACCTCTTCTACACCATCCTCCAAGACACGGTTGAGGCCAGCATGATGTGGTGTCGCCGCAACGATCGCCGCTGCCCCATCCGGAACTCCAACACGACCAGGGGGTGACCGTACTCGCGCCTCACGCTGGAGACCCCCACAACCGACGGCGGGAGAGGGCGCCCGCCTACCTCGCCGGCCATCACCGCTGGTGTTGACAACGATTGCTGGAGCCTCCGCGGCCGATCCCTCCTCGATCTCTTCAAGGGCTTGGTTCAGGACAGCGGGACGTATTACCACCGCTCCTGCCGCTCCTGCCACAGCCCCTCCTTCGGGACCTCTGATGGGAACAGGTGGCGGCGGGTCGCGTGCCCCTTCCTCCTCATCTCTGAGGTTAGCCGCTACGGCCGTTTCGTCGGCGGCTCGTGTCTGCCTTGCCGGTAGCTTGCCATTGTACCACCTCCAGGCACACAGGGCGAACACCAACACCAGTGCGAGAGGTAAACAGGCCTGGAAAGCGGCGGCCAGGCAGTGCAACAGCGGTGAAGCAGCGATTGATTTTCGAATTTTCCTAGGCTTAGACTGAAAGCGAAGTGTGGCGAAGGTCACCGTGACATGGGACTTGCTAGCAGTCCAGACAACTTGCCTTTTCTTCTTGCGGATAGATAGGTATACGTTCCGCAACATGTGGTGAAAGTTCTAAAGCGGTTATTCAGGAGACTGCGGGCCTGCTGTCACTAGTTCGTTGTTAACCGGAGTCGTGACTTTACATTCAAGAAGCAAGACGCTGTTTGTGTCCGCCAATGTTCATTCTGGACGTCGGGGTCACACAGGAGGAAGGCAAGACCAAGGATTTTTTTCGTTCATTTTTCCCGTCCTTTTTTTACGTTGCTTTCTAACCTCTCTCGCGAGAGCACACCTCAGCCGTTCCTTTCCCTCTTCAAGCAGTACGTCGAATTGTCACACGAACTAATCGCTGTCCGTATTTGTTTGTATTTGTTTGTGCATCCCTACAAGGAAGAATGGGTCAGTTCGTGTAACTGCGGCGAGCTTTGACCTCATGATCCAGACGTCACAATCCACTGCTTCTTTGTCACCTCGGCGTTTTTTCTCAAGAAGGGAGCCTGGATCCTCTTTTTGTTGGTGTCGGCGGGAGCGATTCGGTCCTCGGGCAGCTGACGACGACACCTGCAATGAAGGCGATCAAACATTAGGAGTGAAAGCGGTTCGAAGACCGTTGGGGAAACAGACGGGTGAACACAGCAGTGTGCTGCAAACTTTAAGGGCGCGGGGGGGATCGCAGTACTTCCTCTTAAAAAAAACAGGAAACGCCCGGAAACGCCTGCATATCTCGGTTTTCCAAAGTCTAACTCCAGCACGAAACTACCATCGTAAATTAACCGTCCGCAGCGGTCGCTTGTGTACAATGTTAGTAGCTGAGGTTGTACCCCTTGCGATACACTACAGACTAGCGGTCCGCGATTTTCCAAACGATCCTTCTATCATCGAGTTCGGTGAGTGTGTACAAGCTAGATTTTTGAAGCTGCTGTGCGGTCCAATTTTGAAACGCTTCAAGCACACGGTGAACACGAATCACCGCCTATGTGAGTGTATGGGGCCGCGAACTTCAGCGCAGCTCTTCCCTCACATATCCAGCTGGTCGCCATTGTCGATTTGAATGCCTAGGGTCATGTATATGCATGTCCAGCCTTTAGGCAAAGGTGCTTGAAGCGTTTCAAAATTGGACCGCACAGCAGCTTCAAAAATCTAGCTTGTACACACTCACCGAACTCGATGATAGAAGGATCGTTTGGAAAATCGCGGACCGCTAGTCTGTAGTGTATCGCAAGGGGTACAACCTCAGCTACTAACATTGTACACAAGCGACCGCTGCGGACGGTTAATTTACGATGGTAGTTTCGTACTGGAGTTAGAATTTGGAAAACCGAGATATGCACGCGTTTCCTGGATTTTTCAGAGGAGGTACTGCGATCCCCCCCGCGCCCTTAACTTTAGCTTGCTTGGTTTGGGTTGAAGAAACCGACCATCGCGATGTGTCATGCGGAGACACTTTTTTCATAACTCACGCATCTACGTTTGCAACTGCGCTCTTCCTTTTCTACCCTTGATTAGTGGCGTGCAAATGTAAGGCATTCATGCTACGCTACTCATTTTAGCCTACTATCACGGCTGCCGCAGCACTACTGTACTGCAATCCGCTCCTCAATCTGCGGTGGAACCTCGTGTTTGAATGCCTGAGAAAAATCGGCCACACTCACCCTGTTGTGTGCCACGATCGGTATGGCAGCACCATGACCCCGGACATCGGCCGCAAACCACCAAGCCTCCATCTTGGGTGCCCTGATGTAGCTTCCGCTACTTTCGCTGTGGCTGGCGCCTGCGAGAGGAAGAAACATGAAGGTTGGAACGGTTGGACCCTTTGGGTGCTGCCTTTAGGCAACCTGGGTTGTTGGTTGTTGGGAGTTCTAGAGGGTGGGAAACTTGAATTTTCGAATATTGCGCCGCATGTTCCCTTTCGGACCCAGCCGCTGAAACGGACGCCCTCTCGACCAGGAACCGGGCCTCCCTCTCTCTCCTTCCCCCTGGGAGATCACGTTAGAAGTCCACTTGCTGCTGGTGTTTGCTCGTAGCAGGAGCACAATATCGGGGTAAAGGGCTACCGTACGTGTAGTCGAATGATGATGCAGTATGTAGAATTCCCTCCGCGGGCGTGTCCCACAACTGCTGTAGGCACGCTCACTCTCTGGATGACGCGTTTTATTGGCTATTTCTTCGTTTTGCAACGTACTCCTAAAAACACGATGCCCTCTCACGACTTTCAAGCAGAAGAGAGGGCTGATAAAAGTCTGAGTCACAAGTCTTTACAGCGGGGCTTCTTCCCACCACCACCTCAGCGGGCAGCAAGTCCTCTGCCCGTGACACGTACACAATTGAGGGCTTCGACAGCGCGCCATAGTATACTGGGGCGTGGTGCTCAATGGAAACGCCACCCACAACTCAACATGTAGGTAGATCTAAAGATGATGCGTCGTAAAACCGAGCACATGACTTCACAAAACTTCCAGTATTCCCCCATACCTTATGAGCAGCCTCTAAACTATGGGTGCCCGCTCGTTTCGGCTGAATGACAACATACACACAACGAGGGCGTGCTGTGGAGGAGATCAATTGTCATCTAGACTATGTAGTCTACACGTAGAGCTCATCTCCCACACAACAACTGCCAAGTACATGTAGACCATCAGCGAGGCGAGAACAGAACACAAAGAGGAAGACAGAACCAGCAATAACAGGCGACGGAGGCCCGAACACGAACATGAGTAGAGGCCTCCGCAGACACGTGCACGTCTCTTCATCTACTACCTTTTCTGCAGCTAAACAGACTAATCAGGACAGCGAATTGTAGCTTCCTCCGCAACCCCTTCCTCACTGGATTCCCGATCATGACCTTTTGGAGCGTTTTCCTTTTCTTGGCCGAACTGAGACTGTTTATCGACCGTCAGCTGGATAGCACGGTCGATGCTAACGATGAAGGCACGCCCCAACGAACGTCACCCATACCCTGTACTAACCCTAACTCTCTCTACATTTTCGGCGAAACAGCCATACACCTCAGGACAACGTTGTCCGAAGTTGAGGCGAGGTACGTCAACTCGGTTGTTAGCGTAAGATCACAACGTATGGAGGAGGCGAACACGGAGCCAAACCATGCGTGATGGAGCTCGCTCCACGTGCTTACCTCGTTGTCTTTCTCCAATTCTTTCGCCTTCTTCATCGCGCCATAGGAAAACCATTGGCGCCGTTCTCCCATCTGGCCATTGTCATCGCCAGAGGCAGCTTTCCGCCGCCATATGCCCATGACGTTGACCGAGTTGTCGTTGTCAACTCGAACCCCACGAAATAGCCCGTGGTGTCCAAACAACCTCGAGTGTATGCGGCTCAAGCGTCTGCTCCACGTGCTTTGTAGCTTTTGGCCTGCTGACAATGCTTGCGCTGTCTTCGCGCCCGCTCGAACGATTTTTGAGAAAACGAGTGTGAGCGATTGAACCGCTTCCTGTGTCTAAGGATTATGTGCCTGTTCGTTTCATAACTACTTCTTCTACAACGCCTTATTATTTTTACAAGCGGCGGGAAATTGACAGCAGTATAACACGCCTACAGTATTTCCATGGACTCCATGAAACAGCAATTCGCCGACTCGCTCCTCTTGCTGTTGGTAGGACCGCCTGGGCATTCTCCCTTTCCATGATTTGATTGCAACCGACAACTTCACGGGTTTCCCTTGAAGAGCTCGGAACACGAGAAGCAATCGCTAGAAGTCAATCGAATTTGATGTTGGGTCAGCAGCATCAACATCAAGTACACACCCGAAGAAAAATGTTGTTGTAGGCATCCTCACATGCGAGAAGCATGCTCTCCCCCTCCCCCCTCCGATGGGATGCGATAGGCTTTCGCTGATGCTAAACGAACGCATTATTTGCTTGTCCCGTGTACGAAATTGATCTGTAGACTACTCGTCGGTGTCGTCATCATGTATGTGCGCCGGGTCGGCCGTCTCGAACCGTACTGCAGTATTTCTTTGGGCAGGTGGCGTCGTCCACCACCCTCATAACTACTAATATCGTGGTTGAAAACATGCTTTTCTACTCCTGGTGATCCCTATCCGCACAGACAGTTTAGATAGTCAAGCACAAAGCATGCATAGGGTGCCCGTTCTAACGGGTCGTCGTTGCTACGGTGGACTCAGGATTTCCACTTCAAACAAGAAGGAAACAAAATAGAACGGTCGTTGGCAAGGCTTCTAGGTTTCAGTTCGACGGACCGCGCCGTTCAACTCTCTCAGGGCATCATCGTTGCTGCGGCTGTTGTCTTTATTCCGTGAAACTCGTCATTCTCGCACCCTTGCGCAATGAGGGATCAGAAGCAGGGCCGAGGATCAACAGTACTCGAAAGCTGCCTGGGGAGCTCTCAACACAAAATATCGCACGAGAGAGGTTTTCGGGAAACCATCCCATCTTGAGAAAAGTAAGCCGCATCCACGAGGTACCTTGATTTTGTGGTATTACACACGTATACCAACCCTCGAAGGAGCCATGATTAACCAAGAAATGACCCGGTCGTGCCAGCACCACATGATCTATCTCCCTCAAGGATCCGATAAACAACGGTGGGAAAGGTGTGGATCAACCAGAAGTCTCAGCACGCAAAATATCAGCGCGATCTCTAATCTAGACATCGAACGAACAACTTCCAAAAAAGAAACAACGACTTTTTTCCGGAACCAGCTTGAGACGACACGAAGAACCCTTCGGTCCATCAACATGAAAACGGAAACCGGGCACGAGCAGCTCTGAAAACCTCAGGCAGGGGAACCAAAGCCGGCGACGGAGTGAATGAAGCCTCTAGATACCGCACTTTTAGCGCAACACCAAAACGAACCCCCACACGACACGTTCACACGCAGGGATGGATGGCGTGCCCCTTGAATCAGTACGCTCCGCGTAATTCGAGGCTTCAGAAATACGACACCCGCCGGCTTGATGCGACCCCCCCATCTCAAGCACGGGCACAAAACACGCACACAATCCGAAACAAGAGAGGACTCGACAACCAACTCACAACGTATGCATCTTGCGTAGAGCAAGAGCATTCTCTCCGATCGACCCAAGCTCCCTTTTTTGAAACGTGGCGGCCCGTTCCGTGACAACACCACCCCCTATCGAGAAAAACGACACCTCACCAAACGCAGAGCCGGGCGAAACACCACGACCGTAAAAAATACAACTGGAAGGATGAGCGCTTCGCCACAAAAAATGAAACCAACATTGTGGGACCTGGCCCAACTTTCACACATCCCAGATGGGGATTATAGGGATGGCGTTTGGCGGTGGCGCTGTCGACACTGGATTAAGCAAACATGTTGAACACACCCAGTAGTCGATTTCTTCTTCGTCAACGAACCATCGAGAGAGACGGGTTTTCGTGGCCTGCCATCAACGCTTGCGAGTTCAACATGACGCTTTGTGTCGGGTGCCCAATGCTTCTCGTACACTGCGGCCGCGGCGACACCCCAGTGATGTCGAAAAGCAAGCCAACACCAAAACAACAGACCTCACCGCACAAGGCGTCGGTGTGATTTTCCACGACAGTAGCTAGCACACCTTCGTTTCGGTGGGTCTCAGGCCCGACTCGTCGCTAGGCCGCAGGCAGCCCACAAGAGCACAGGGAGTGAGCCCCGAACGCATCGTACGCGCAACAGACACCGTCCCCAACAGGCGTTTTCCCAAATCCTCGGTCCTCCCAACGCAAGGAACCTAGCCCTGGTGTTCCTGGACGATATCCACGCGAAAACAATACCCCTCCCGCCAGTCCCTGCGTATTTCAAAGCCATTTTTCTTGACACAGAAAGTAGCCCCCGTCCCTCTCTCCCGTTAAGAAGTCTTCCCAAGGTGTTTCCCCCTCTCTCTCTCTCTCTTGGCCTTTGGCGAACGAAAAAGAGCCGGGAGAGCTTAGCGTGTGTCGGGGATCCTATCCCGCACGCTCGCTCTCCACTAAGTACTTCACACACGTACGTGCGTCAATCGCCCGAAGGCTTGAGGTTCGAGAAGAACCACACCTCCACCTGCAGGCACCTGGTGGAAACAAGAACACGCGAAAAATGTTTGAGGAAGATCCTTTGTGAGGTGCATGCTGTGTGATCGTTCTCCCGGGTGACACGTCCCGGCGGGTGCATCCAGAATTGTACAGAAAGTGTAGAAGCGACGACAGAATTAATGGGGTGACAAGAAAAAAAAACTGACTACTGCTGTGCGGCGTTCAATCGCCAAAAAGAGGCCTTCCGATGGAGGGAAACTACTGTAGGCAAAACCACCCACGGACGGAGTGGGGGTAGATACCCTTCAACGCATTTTTGCGACAGCAAGCGGGTGTGAAGTCAAAACCAATCGCAGAAAATCACGACACCAAAGGGGGTGTTGGGATTTAGACGCGGCCCTTCCTGATGAACGTCAAACAACCATGGACAAGATATGGCGTAGGCCGTTGGGGCGGGAATTCGTTGGGCACAAACAGCAACAACCCAATGGGTGGACACCCCGGGATGTACGCGTTCAAAATATGTACACATACACGGGACAGGAGGGCGGGAGCAAGGGCCAACCAAACCCACGAGCAAACTTCCTATACTGTAGGTGGCGGGTAGTGCCTGGAAACGGCGCACGCGTTCCTGAGCGCACAGGGGACCAGGAACCAACAGACCGCGCCGACCGACGCGCAGAAATTCCGCCATCATCCACTCTTGGGGTGGTCTGATTCGAGATGTCCATGCTACGTGGGTCCATTCACCCTTTCCAAGGCGAGCACCCCCCGCTACCACCACCACCACCACCACCCTCATGTTCGCCGCGCATGACACACACAAAAAAGGGACGACTACAAGTACACACACAAAAAGAAGCGACGACTATACGCAAAAAAAAAACAGTCGCGCGCGTGCCTGAAAAACTCGTTCGAAGACAGCCGAGGGCTTCCGAAGGTGTCGCTCGGATTGCTCTCTCCGGCGTCGAGCTCGTCGTCGATCTGGAAGGCGAAGCCGCCGCCGCCGCCGCCCATGGCCAGCCACGAGTCGCTCGAGATGCAGAAGTAGTCGTTGGCTCCTGTCCAGCGGTGGCCCTTGAAGGAGGGGTGGAACGAGTACACGAAGGACTCGCCCGTGCCGTAGTATTTTTGGCTCTCCTGGACAAACAAAGCGCAGGGGGGGGGGGCGCGTACTCTTATGTTTTGCATGCCTTAGCGGTTAGACCATTGACCACGCGTCCTCGAGAGGACGGAGCATTGTTCCCACAGGACCGATCACCGATGGCCAATCGTTCCTTCCTACTTTGCCAAAGGTGGCTCAAAAACGTCTTCCCTATTCTATCTATCCTAACGCTATCCCTCCCCAGGGGGGGGGTCAGCAAAAGGGAACAGGCACATTTTTGGCTGGAGGTTAGAACGGAGGTGTCGGAATAGTTTTAAGGTCTGGCACCGACCTCTGTGAACAACAAACACCAGGTGAAATATGAGGCGTTGTCTTTGGGAACTACAGCACATCGGATCAGCGCTATTATATATAATAGAAGCTCCAGAGACAACAAAGGAGGGCTCGCTCTCGCGGCCATGAGCGGCTGGGGGCTTGCACAGTGGGGAAAAAAATCGAGCAAGCAGGTAGGATGAGTGTGAACCAGCATGCGGCATTGTGCGCACTACCTAGTTTTTCCGTGGAAGAAGTGAAGTTTTCAGGTCCCTCATTGTTTTTCGGTGTGACCGTTTGAGTGTTGTCCAAAATTGAATAAAGTTGTGGCGCTATCTTGTACGAGTTCTGACAACATTGTCTGGAGTACAACTTGGCCCGAGAACCGCACGTTTGTAGGAAACACGACAACCACGTCTAGAAATACATTCGAAAGTCCCTTAGTCGCCCAAATCGTATCACCAACCGCTGCAGAGTGCGCTGTGCTGCGTACCTTCATCGAGCCGGCCACGAAGCCGCCAAAGACGTACCCCCAGCTATCCTCCACCACGATCAGACACCTGAACAAACGCCGCGCGCGCGAGAGAGAGAGACAACGCCAACCGGGGAGGTTGCCAGAACATCAAACGGTGCTGATGCGAATCCAGATAAACCATGTCGAATCAAAATCAGACGTCGCGCCCTCGGTTTCAGTCAAACTATTTTTCTCTCTTCCTTAATCTTTCGCCGAAGTGTGTATGTATTTCGTCCGTGAGCACGGAAGCCGTCCCCGTCAGTTAGACCGATACGGATGTTGGGTACTGAGCAGAGACCGCCGTAAAGGTCTTTTTTGATAAAAAGACAGCACCAGCAAAAACAAAAACAACAACAACGCGCACAGCCGTATCGCACAAGGACCTGCCCTGAGAAGCAACTAACGAAAGACAAAGCAGTCGTCGTGCAACGATCAAAACGAAAAACAGCAACAGCAAACCGGTCTAGACCTGCCTGCCAGCATCGCTCCAGGCCACCACAAACCTGCCAGCCATGAATCGTACCAAAATCTCTCACAAGAGTCTATCTAATCGACGAGCCAACCGCCAACGGACATGCCAACGGCCATTCAACAAGCCCACGAAGCCAAAAGCCAACGCAAAATAACGACCAATTATCCCCGAGCACTCACGGCCCCCTCCCCCGGCAGTTCTGCAGCAGGGTCCACAGGCTCGCGCCGTCCCTGGCGATGCTGTAGCCGAGCTTCCAAGTCTTCATCGCCTGGCCCAGGGGCACCGCTTCCGCGAGACGGCGCAGACGGGCCGCCGTGAGGATCTGCCGAAAAAAAAAAAAGACAGAAAAAAAAAAATGGCATGAAAAACTCGTCTGTAACACAAAGTTTAGTCGAACGTGCGATGAAGGGGCAACGTAGAACGAAATGAGGCCTGGTGTTTCGCATCGCGACAAAAAAAAAAAAAGAAGACAGCACCAACTTCTAGAACCCCGCGCGCCGTGGTACGTGTGACGGGGGTGCGGGTGCGCAGCGCTAACAAACACGTCTCGTATGAATCTTAATCTTCCACCAGGAGGTGTCGCCGGGACTTTTGGGGGGCGAACGGAAACACAAAACATGAAACGGTTTCAAGCAAAAACAATTCAATAAGACCGGTTTCGTCGTTGTCATCACCTTGGAAGGCTGGTCGAGAACGACTTCTCTTGCTTCCTCCACGGGCGACTCCACCTCGTGACGGACCACGCCAGGCGGCCGCATGTCCACGAGCTCCGCCTCTTCGACCGCGTTCTTCTTCTTCTTGCGCGTCCGCAGCTGCAACCAAGCACAACACCACACGCGAGATTAGATGGGAAAGAAGAAGAAGGAAAAGCAGGAAGGACGTTGTGGTGATCGAGCGGCAAACCTTGCGAAGAAGAAGAACAAGACGCGGTTGATGGGTGTGTGCTCGGGAGCACGCGGCGGACCCCGATACACAAACAACCGCAGCAGTGGCAGTTACAAGCAGCATGGAGAGAGGAGACAGGGGGAGAAACGGCACGGTATATCTTCACCAAACTTTCAAGGTCTGCTGGAAGCATAGAGAGGTGGCTGAAAGACCGCCCAGCCATGTGTACCGTCAACGATGGAGGAAGAACACTCGAGGGCGAGAAAAACCCTTTGACGCGCCGGAAAACTACGGTCGTGCGCGCGTTGCGTATCACCATGGCACGTGTCGTGTGCTCCGTCTTTTGCGGGCGAACTATGTTCGGTTTCGTCTATTTACTACACGCATGTCGCGTTGCTTCTGCTCGGTACAACCCATTTTGCCCATCCTATGGCTGAAAGTTCGCAGGACGACGCCTGCGCCTGATGTGCAGGATGCGTTGGAGCTTCGTCTCCTGCGTAGAGCGACACGACCTTTAAACGTAGCGCATGACACACGGCGGCGGCTGCTTCGTCCTACTATCTCACCGGCGAGCGCTGCTTCTTCTTGGACCTTTCCTCCTCCCTCATCTGCTGGTTGTGCGGCATCCTCGACTTGAAGTGCCAGTCGAAGACCCAGAGCCACGCAACGCACACGCCGAGGCAGACTACGAACGCCTCCCACACGCCCATGACGTCAACCATCGCTGCACGCGCCGCCGATGACATGGGCGGCCGCCAGGACCGGGGGCAACAAAACAGACGACAGGCCGGCAGATTGACACCAGCGCTTGCATAGAGAGGCAAGGAACGGCACCAATACCAGACCTATCTATCCCTTTGCTTCATCGCTCGTGCCTCGGATAGATAGATGGTAGGCCCTCAAAAGCTCCTGGTTTAGACCACAAAGTTGATACTTGTTGCGATCATTAAGAGCATTCAACTAGGGACGGACGGGCGTGCAGACTACCCCGTGTTCTCTACCCCCCCCCCCCCCCCCCCCCCCCCACCTTTCCCCCCCCCCCCCTTTTTCTCTTTCCCTTTCCCCCCCT